TTACCGTCGATAATTTGCTGGACAACATCGCCACAGCAGATCCGGCGGAACTGGAGCGGGCCTACCACACCGGACGTGTCTCTGGAGGATATTGTAGAAGCGACCCATCTGTCGTCCGATTCCCCCCGTTCCTCCTTTCTCGCTCCCGCCGGAAGACAAATTAATCCTTTTGCCCCACGACGAGTTTATGGCGTACCAAAGGTTGAACTAGATGTGGTGCGACGGTCTTGCCGGGAAGATAGCAGAGGCGGAGGCGCTAGAGCAGGCGAAGCGCGAGGACGCGGAGCGCTTGGCGGAAGGGGAGGCTGCGCTGGCTGCTGCGGCGAGGAAGCAGAAGGAGGAGCGTGAGGCTGTTTGGGCTGCTGCGGCGAGGAAGCAGGAGGAGGAACGTGAGGCTGCTCTGGCTGTTGCGGCGAGGAAACAGGAGGAGGAGCGTGCGGCTGTTCTGGCGGAGCGTGAGGCGTATCTCCAAGCGGCTAGGGCGAAGCAGGGGGCGCTCCGATCGCGGCTGAAGGAGCTGGAGCCCCGCCACCAGGACCCGCGAGCACCCCCCCACCCCCGTCGCCGTGTTATCGTTCCCACCCCCCACGCAATCCCAGGTGCCCCTTGGTTCCCATCGTACCGCCTCGCCGCACGAGAAGGAGCGGGAGGTGGCGGCTTCTCCGACGAACGAGAAGGAGCGGGAGAGGACAGCGACTCCGGATTTTTCGGTGACTTTGGGTCTTCCGGTCGGTGCTGAAGACGGAGCATCGTTTGCGGCGGCAACCAGGGTGTACGAGTTCCACGTTGGAGATACAGTGTTCCTGTCCCGCCCGCTGGAGATGCCTTCAGAAGGTGTCACCTTCCACGACGAGGATAAATTGGCAGCTCTTTTTGCATGGGCTGGCATCAAACAACTTGTCCGTGCACAATTCCCCCCACCGCACACCGTTGCTTTCGGGCACATCTACCACACACCGTACCTCGCGAAACTTCCGCCTTCTTCGCGGCAGTCCGTGTTCCAGCTGTTGTTCGCTCTCCGTCGTGCCACCTTTCCTGAAGGTCCTCAAGGAACGTCGGTGGTGACCCAGGAGGGAGGACTCCAGCTGCCTCTTGCTCGTGCTGCTTCGACCAACGACTTCAAGCACGATCTACAAGCCCCCCGGCAGGCCTCTTCACGCCCTGCACATGGTTCTGGAGAGGACAAGGATTTCAGTAGGTCGGCGGCTCCGGTGTCCAAGAGCTGGAAGAACCGTTGGGGCGACCGGGATTCGACGGCCAAGAGCGGGACGGACGACCACCACCGCTTCACCCAGTCTTCGCGAGGGCGCGGCGTCGGAGATAACAGGCGAGGGCGAGCCGTGGGGAACCAGCCTACGAGGTCTTCGCCGGCGAGTCGCCATCGCCGGAGCAGGAGTCGGAGCGCAGAACGACAACAGCGCACCAATCCTTCGTCTAGGCGTGGGCGCAGCCGGAGCGGAGACCGTCGTGGGAGAAACACGCCTCCGTCTAGGCGTAGCCGCAGCCGGAGCCAGAACCAGAGCGGGGGCAATAGCAGGGCGACCAGCACTGACAGCAGTCGCGGTGGAAAAGGGCGACGGAGGTCAGGCCACGGTAACAGGCAAGTGATGTATGATCGAGGTGATTTTCGTAGCTCTGGGTTGTTGGGGGAAAACAAGGATGCTTCAGAAGACGGTTCTCTCTGTTCTTCACCGCTTGTTCTACGCCCTCCCGCTGATGTAGGCCAACCGACCAGGTCTTCTTTGGCTTTCAAACTTGCCAACATGCAACTTCGTGAACGTTCAGCCGCTGTGAAAAGCCATGCCCCTGCCCATGCCGTTATGGATCATCCCACATCTTCCTTGCCTTTGGACGAACCTGTTGAGTCACCACGCCATGCTGCATCACACGCCTCGACTTCGGCCTCCCGTACTGAAATGCTGTTGGAACAAGTACTCACTCTCCTGCGAGCAAATCAAGTAAGGGATGCTGCTGCCGACGCGAATGTACAACCTCCTGTGCCCCCCCACGCTCCTAGCGTGCCACCACCTGCCCCATCTTCTTCCCCACCAACGCGTCCGACACCGATGCAAGACCACGCTTCGAGCTTTTCGGGAGCTCCTGTGGAGCGCGATGTTCGTGCCGAAACCGCTGCCAGGACCACGCCAGCATCATCGTCATCAGCCACGAGGTCGGCGACAGTACCGGTCGAGCCTGCGGTGGCACCGTCAGCGTCGACAGCCCCAGCCCTGTTGCAACAGCCTTTGGTGGTATCGCCCCCCCCCCTCCAGCGTGCGTCTGTTCTGATTGATCCTGACTCTGCAACCGGCCACATCGTCGAGCCACCGAGTCAAGCGGCATCACCGGTGCCACAGGACGATGCTGGGTTGCCTTTGTCTTCCACGGGAGCGAGAGCGAGACAGGAGGCTCTGCACGCTGCGGACGCCGCTGCAGCGGAGGCCGACACCATCCGCATTCAAGACAAGATGGACAAGCTGAAGCCGGAACAACTTGATAGTGTCACACGCTTGCCCCTCGGTCCTGATCCTGATGAATTTGCTCGCTTCGCGTCTAGCTGCAAGGGTGTGGTCACAGAGATCCTCAACAAAAGCGACGTCAAGCGCAAGCAGACTTTCAATTCCTCCACCTGGGTCACCGGATGGCTTCCGTTGTTGCGCAAACGTGTCCGTGCTGCTGTCGTTGAAGGCCAAACCACCAACCGTGCCACGCTGGAATTTCTTGATGCCACCTTCCTACAGGTAGAAAGCCATCTGCGCAAGGAACCGGCAGGGCCCTCGACGTACGCCTTCTTCATCCAGAAATTGGCGGCTGCCTGGGACACTCAAGACAAGAGCTCGGGGATTGATCGTCTTCGCAGTTTTGGCGTATCCAACGGCGAGACTTACGGAGAATACATCCGTCGCTATAAGGCTCTGGCCATGACCGTCATGGTTTCCCACCACGCGTTCAAGCCTTCGGATGCGCAAGTGCAGATAGCTGTTCGAGACTCCATGTTGAAGCAGTTTTCGGGTAGTGTCTGGGCAGGTGTACAAGGATGAGCAGCTCTCCATGGAAGCCCCTTTTGGGCGACATGCTTCGTGTCTGGATGATATGTGGGATGTGTTGGACAAGCGAGCGTTCGCGCACACACCGGCGGTGCATGGAGATTATTTCTTTTCGGTATCTTCCACGAATGCTAGGAGTTCGTCTGCTGTTTCGCGTGCTGTAGCTTCTTCGGCGTTGCGTTCGACGGTGACCCCTTCGTGGAGCCAAGGTTCTTCGGCCGCCGTGATGAGTGTTGACCCTCTACCTAATGATGATCGGGGCCCTTTTCTGTTGCACTACAGCGACTGGTCGTTGCAAGGACACTTCCAAGGGGTGTACAACGTCGCTAGTGAGATGGCTCTAACCAAGAATGATCCGCCATTGTTCACCCCC